TAACTGTAACGGAATACAGTTACTCATATTTTGTATTTTAAATACGTAACGGCGGTACATGTATTCCGTTACTCCCCAACACTGTTAGTTTCTTACTAACAGCTCCAGAACTAAGTACAAACAGCACTAAACATTTGACTCAAAGATAGAGGAATGCGAGGAACAAAAAGTGCACTAGTTTATTTGTAGTTTCAGCATTTTAACAAAGAAGGTCAACAAACAACTCAGGTACGGGTAGAGGAAGGCAGCACTTGCGTTTAGAGCAGATGTCTTGGCAGACGAGAACATTCATGCTGATGGACATCATCCAAATGACTTCTAGGTTAACAGAAAATGCTAATCAAAGCTACTATCAGAATAAACATGGGCCAAGTTGGCAACTGTTTAAAGAATAAAATCCACACCACTTCTGATATCATCTAGATGCCACAAAAGATGTCTCCAGGCACTGCTCCCTTTACGTTGTGTGAGTACAAGAAAATAATTATTATAATATGATGTGTTAAATTTGTTTTGATCAGAGGAATAAGGAAGGATTTGTCTGTTTCAGTTTGGCTTAGCTGTAGGCCTGAGAGTGTGTAATTGTTTAGAGGGAAAGGAATTTATTGACACTGGGGGTCAGCCTGTCATAAAAGGAGACAGGAAGCTACAGTGGGGGATGCTGATGCTTTTATCTGAATCTAATAAACGGTCATAATTGTTATAACTTAGAAGCAGGTTTGCAGGAGACTCTCCGCCTTATCTGTAAATGTAAGACAATAAGAGGCCAATGGCCCAGTGGATGCAGAGTGGGGGTCTCAGTGTTTGTAATATGTTAACTCTGTTTTCTATGTTGTGTAGAAAACAGACTTACACACAGGTACGCGCACACACACAGACACAGAGTTTGCAGCACAGCATGGGGGTTTTATGATGGGGTCGCTTCTATAAAGCTGACTGTAACAAACAAAGGAGTGGAAGATTTGCAGAGGGACACCGGCCTTGCACGTCTTCCCTTCTAGAAGATGCATGCTTAACTGAAGATGAATGAAGATGAATAAAGGTTTTGTGAAAATGACTATTGAGTCCGGTGCCATCTCTGGATGCCTGAGGAATAAAAAGAACCGGGGTGAAACTGATTTCGCAACAGTTGCCCAGGCGCTCGAATGCGTACGGCTGACACAGTCTCCAAACACAGAAAATCTGCACTGAATCGACAATAAAATGAACACATAACAATTGATTCTGCACTATTTTGCAGTGTGAGTCAGTGAGTGACGGGCGACTGCTGCTCCAGCCAATGATGCGATTCGCATACGTATGTACGCAGCTAATCAAAGTCACTGACAGGCTATGACAGCATCTTTATGTGCCCGGTGTTTTAGCTAGGTAAGTGTGGCCAATGTGGTGCTTATGTTGACCTTTTATCATAATGGCAAAACGAAGAGGCGGTGGCACATGCCCTCACCAAGCCAAAGTAAAAAAGCAATGCAATTCTTTTAAGATGGAATGGCTTTCAGAGTTTTTGCAAACAGAAGAAAAAACTGTGAAACTGGGTGAGATTTTTTTCTTTTTCGAGTGAGAAAGGTCCGCTCTGCAAAACATGTTGCGAGGCCAAAATAGCAAGCGAGTTTTCGGAGGGTAAAGTGTGGACAGAACATTCAGCACAAAAGTCATTTGAAAGCAGTTAGAATTTTAAGATGGGAATGGGTACATTGTTGGAGGAGAGCGCCAAAGACCGAGACAACAGGAACAAGCTGTAAAGAAATCTAA